CTCTCATCACCACCTCAGGAGAACGAGGCCATGCCGGGGGGTCCTTGTGGGATGCTCTGACCTCCCCCTCCTCTTCCTCCTCCCCCCTCCTCAGCTGCAGGAGATGATGAAGGTCATCTTCTACCAGAAGATGAAGCTGGACGAGTGCCACATGACCATCAGCCTCATCAACGCCAGTTGCAGCGGTAAGGGACCCCCCCAACCATCCCACTCCCATCCCCTTGGGGACCCCCAGCACCCCTTGAAGACTTCCGTGCAGTCAGGGGTGTCCCCTCAAGACGTGGGGTGGAAGCCAAGGGGGGAAAAACGACCCCCCAACCCCACGCTGTCCCCCTTGCAGCCGAGAAGGCGCAGCTGAGGAGCCAGCTGGACCAGGCAGCCCTGGCCAAGAAGGAGTTGGAGGAAAAGTGTCGCCAGGCAGGTGACACGCTGACCAAAGCCACCCAGGAGCAGGAGAGGTGCCAGCAGGAGCTGCTCACCACCACGGGCAGCTGCGAGTCCACTAGAACCGAGCTGGAGCTGCGGAAACACGAGTGTGGGTCCTTGAGGTCGGACATAAACTACGTCTTCCAGCGCATCAAGGGCATGGGCAGCTCCTACAACTGCGACGCCTTGCAGGACCAGCTCAAGTGGCTGACCCAGCAGACAGAGGGACTCTTCCTCCGGCAGCAGGAACGGGAGACCAAGTACGTGGTGAAAAGCGTCTGCGACATCAACATCCAGCAGTGTCACGTCAACTGCTCCAGGGAGAAGCAGGAGTTGGAGAGGAGGCTGCAGAACGCCGAGAAGCAGGTCAAGGGTGGCCAAGAGGAGAAGAAGAAGCTGCTGGTGGAGAAGGAGCAGCTTGGCAGGGAGCTGGAGGAGAAGAGCAGGGTGGCCGTGCAGGCTGGGCACCTCAAGGAGCAGCTCACCATCTGCTTGGGCTCCAAGGTGAGGGGGAGGTTGGGGTGGGGGGAGAACAGGAGCCTGGGTGTGGCCGTCTCTCTTTCACACACCCACCCCTTTGGCAAACGCTTGTGCCCGTCCGTGGGGGCACCTCGGGCAGGGACGAGGTGCTGCAGCACCCTTGGGTGCCTTCTGCACGCCGGGCACCAGCGCTGAGCACCAGCTCCCCTCACAGATGGATCCCTTCTTTGACATCACGGGCTCGCGGGTGCCGGGCAGCGCCGTGCGGCCGGGCCCCTTCATCAGCACGGGCTCCTACGTGGATGCTCTGAGGAACCAGGGGATCTTCGGTAATATGGGTGAGTCCTGGGGGCCTGGCACGCTGGGGGGGTCACCCCCTTCACGTGACCAGCCCGGCTCAGGCCCCCACTGCTCCATCCCACCAGGGAAAATCAACGCGGAGGAGATCCAGCGCTCGGTGCAGAAGATCATGGAGCAGTACATGTCCACCCAGAAGAGCCCCAGGTGAGGGTGG